AATTGCCCTGTTGTGGGCTCAATGACTCAAGACAATTTCCTAATCTGATAATCCTTACATTGTTTACCAAACTTTACCTTTGATCTGCCTGCATGCATTGCTAAAGGGAAAATGTGTATTCAAGTAAATAAAAAGCAGACCAGGCCAAAGGTGGGTGTGTCTCTTCAAGAAAGAGGCTCCACTTGACCCCCAATGCCTTCTAACTTCATATTTCTTGTATAGCATTTTCATTTGTGCATCAGCCTCTCCTTCAGATCCTGAACCTAGCCATGAAGGTCATGGCACAGACTCAGAAGAAAATGTGGCCAAGGGAAGAGTTACCATTTATCACTATTCTCTGGGGAAAACTCACAGCGACCTGAACTAGGTAAAGAAGAGCAAGGAGCATTTGTGGGAAGAAAAGCCACAGGAGATTAATTTTACCCTTGATTGTCACTTAAGCAATGAACAACATTGCAAAATGCATCTTTTAATCAGGGGATAAGGTCCCTTCCCACTCAGCAAGAAAACAGACACCTTTGGTAATGGGACTTGTATTACTTGGAGTCTCGATGCGAATGACCCAGGCCAGTTGAGCACCTCTATTGTTTGAACTGTTAAGAAGGAAAGGATCCTGAAAATCATTGCCTCACTGTACAACACATTATTAAATCTGGGTTGCCCCTAATCTGTGCTCCAGCATAATGTTTTAAGTCCTGGGCCTGGAAATGAAAAACATCACTTCCCTCCCTTGGGGAGAAATCAACAAGACGACACTTGAGATGTAATTCATAGTTCATACCTGGGTGGTCCTATCTCACCACAGTCTGCTGCCTTAGATTTAGAAGAGAAGAGTTCTTGGAGAGCAACCATGACTAACAGAATTCAATGTTGAGGAAGAGAAAGGGATCCTTCAGCAAAGTGCTAATGCCGTGGTGTGCTAGAGGGTGAAGTTGGGAGAGGCTGCTCATGGTTAGCACACCAGGTGTTCCAGGACACTTTGAAGAGAGACTCTCCTCACTGCCTTAAATATTCCAGGCCAATTGCCTTCCACCCTCCCCTAAAACTCCACATTTCTTGATGGCTCCTTTCTTCTGGCTAAGTCATCCTACTCTTCCTTGGTGCTGTCATCTACAGACATCCTGGCTGCACCTCCTCGTCCCTTGAGGGTTTTGATAATTTGTTCATGGCCCTCCTCTCCACCTCATGTCTTGTGTCATTCAGGTTGGCGACAAAGCCCCTGTGGACATCTGTCTGATACTCTGGGCTTGGAGTTCTTGACCTCCTCATTGACAAAGCTTTTCATCTCTTCACTCTGGCTGCCCACTGGTTCTCTCCCCAACCTCACTGCAAGTTCCTTAGGTGGAGGATGCTTGTATCTATAATAATAAAAGGGCAATATCCTAATTAGACCAGACATCTTCCAGATGTCATTCTGGATGTCTTTCCTAACAAAGCCAGGGCTGGAGAAAAGCCAGCCCAGGTTCCAGGTGCCTGTGGGTGGCCTGAGGGAAGACATCCCAGATCCTGGGTGCCTGTGGGTAACCAGAGGAGGGAAGCAGCCTGGGTCTGGGGTGTTGGAAGGAAGCCAGTGCCAGCAGCTGGGGGTAAAAAAGGCCTATTCTTGCATGAATTTTCATGCATTGGGCCTCTAGTTGTTAATAACATCAGAGATTGTAATTCTGTTAAATGAAAGGTTGTCATGCTTGATTCATAACTGATAATGTTAGATCTCTGTGTGGGTCTTTTACAAGAAAACATCTAATGATCATGGGGAGGCAGAAGAAGAGACTGACTTGAAATATGATAAGAAGTAATCATTGACAATTTCATGGTGGCCAGTCCTCTGGGTTCCTTTCTGTGACCTAGGATCTAAAATTGGTAATCAAGTCAAATACAAGCAAACAAACACTACCGTCTTTCTCCCCAAAATACAGGTCAAGGACCATATTCTTTCTATTTAAGCTTAATCAGACCAAAATCACAAGGACAAGCCTAAATCTGACAGAATCAGATTTATTGACCTGATGCCCTGAGGGAGGCACTTCATAGGAGCCATGGAGTGCTTCTCAGTAAATAAAGAGACTTGTAAGTCAGGCTCCTGCTGAAGGATTCAGGAAAGTCCAAAGGAAGTGGGGATCAATGCTGTACTGGTTGCAGTTGCCAAGGCAGAATTATGAGAAGTGGGAACTAACTAGAGCTTGGAAGGCATAATGAGCAAGGGTGGCTCAGCATTTGGGAATCCCTAGTAAAAGATGGTTGAGCTAAAGCATGTCTGGGCATTGTTGATAAGAAAACAGAGGTCATTCAAAGTGGGCATTGTTATGACATTTCACAGCTTGGGAGAAGGCTGTTCTCTGTGAACTTCGCTTTTGGCTTTATCTGAATCTGTCCTCCCAGCCTGGGTATCAGCAGGACTGCTTTTGTTCTTTTTCAATCCAAGCTTATTTTCACTCTTTCAGTCCCAAACAAGTTTTAGCTCTTTCTGTTAACTGGATTTAGCCAAGTTTAAATATTCCCTTTTACATCTTACTAAACCTAATGTCCACATTTCCCTCTACAGCTATGACCATCAACCACACACAGAAGCAAATCAAATAATCCTGCAAAGACGAAGGTTGCATGTGTAGAACAACTGTAGGAAGGTTCATTAAAACAATTAGAACCAAATAAAATACAAACTAAAGTCAGAGGTAGTTTATTCCCAGCAGAAGTGGGGTGAGCATCTGCTTGCTGTGGCATGGTCAGCTTTGTGTGACTGGTATTGGGGAACTGTTTTCTCTGCTAAGGCCCTAAAGCATTCACTAAAAGGAAGTACTTACTAGCTCCTCTTCTTTCATTTCTTAAAAAAAAAAAAAAAAGGAAAATCATTGAGAGTTTGGACACATTAAGAGCCCAGCTATTATAGCTGATGAGAGACAACTCATATTCCAGTAGTTCTCAAACTTTACTGTGCTTCAGAAAAACCTGTAGGACTTGCTGAAACCCAGGTTGCAGTTCTCTATCCCTAGAGATTCTGATTCAATAGGTCTGGAGTAGGCGCCTAAGAATTCACAATGTCAGCAAGTTCTCAGGTGATACTGATGATGCCGATGCAAGGACCATATTTTACTTCTCTATCTCAGCTTTTCCTCATTGCTTCCACCTTCCATACTTTTACACCTTCTGTTTCTCCTGCTTGAAATGCTTTCTCTGCTCTCCATGTAACTTATTGTTTGTCTTAATTTCAGTTATCCAACCTTGCTTGGCTATTATATTCGTTTATCTGTTGGTATATGACAAATTACCCCAGGTAGGACCTCCAGAATGGTAGCATGAGGTGCTCAGAGAAACCATTAAACTGGTGGAGATTAATAAAGACAACCATTCAAAATCTTTAAAGATTGATCAAAAGGTTTAAACATAGTTGAGAAACATCAGTTCAACAAAATCTATGGAAACTTAGTTGGAACAGTGGAAATCCATGGCATTGAAGCTAGAGACTGCATTCATCTCCCCACAGCTCTGCCTTGTTGAAGAACTAACTGTTCTAGTGAGCTCAGCAACCATCTATACTAATAAAAGAGTAATATGCTAATTAGACCAGGACCTTCCAGACAAAGCTATCGTGGCAGGGCTGAGGCAGAGGCAGTTAGGGGCAATCAGGCCAAGGGAGCAATTGGGAGTGAGCAGGTCAGCTGGGGCGGGGGCAGTTGGGAGCAATCAGGTTGGCAGGAGTGGCAGCTGGGGGTGATCAGGCCGGCAGGCAGAGTGGTTAGGAGTAATCAGGCAGGCAGGCAGATGTACGGTTAAGAGCCAGTGGTCCCAGATTGTGAGAGGGATCCCAGGTTGGAGAGGGTGCAGGCTGGGCTGAGGGACACTCCCCCCTATGCACGAATTTTGTGCACTGGGTCACTAGTTGAAGAATAAAACTTCCCTTTCCACAATAGCTCAGTGGAGAAGCCCTCATGGGCTCAACAGATGAATGACAGCTTCCATCTTTCCCAGCTTCCTAGGGATGAAGATGGCAACCAGTGAATTTCAAATCTCATCCTCTCTGGATCTGTGCCACAGAAGATTCATACTGGGGACATACTTAGGATTGGTTGCCCCCTGATATGGGATCACTCTCTCCCCTACCTTGCCTCACCACCAGCACACACACAGCTCCTGATCAATAAAGTGAATCCAGGTGGGGTAGTCAGTCAAGAGTGAGCTCCTCACCCTCCCGCCAGCTCTGGCATCAGAGCCTCCATGGCTTAGGTTCTGCCCAGGGGGTAAGAGCAAATCTCAAAGTCGGGTAACACCAGCCCAAGTGTCCAAGGAGGGATATTGATTCTCTAACTCAAATTTGTAGGACTTTCATAAGCAGAATTCTGGGGCCTAGCACCCGCACTTTACAATTCAGACTGATTGTTACACAGTGCCTCCAGTGTGCCCATATAAGGCTAAATATTTGTGCAAATATGGATCGCCTTTCCGGTTTTGTCTGTTGTGATCACTGCTGAATTCGTAGAGCCTAAATTAGTACCTGGTACAAAGCAGGCTCTCAATAAATGTCTTACAAATGAATTGCCTTATCCGACGCTGAAATTATAGTTTTAACTCCAGGTGACTCTATCATTTTTTATGATAACACTGCATCAGGGAAACATTTCTGTAATATTTCTGGCTTCTAGAGTTTAGTTTAGACTTCTTTTGCACATTCAGGTCTAGAGCTGGAATCTCCTCCACCCAGCCCACAGCTCCAAGACGAAGACCAGCCCTAATAAGGTATCTCTCAGGGTTGACTCCGGGTCACGTGACTTGCAGCGCAGCCAGAAGGTAGACGTCTCCTGCCTCGCGCGTGCGCACAGCTTCTGCGCCGGTTTGAGGAGCGTGCGCAGACTCAGAGGCCTCGCTTCCTCCCAGGCTCCGCAGCTCACTCCGGTGGGCGGAGCGAAAGCTGAGCTGGAAGGAAAGGCCGCAGCTGCGCGCATGCGCAGGAGAGAACTGAGGGCTCGGGCGTGGTGGTCGGCCTGGCTTGAGATATTTGAGACAAGATGCAGGTGAGCAAGCCCGGGGGTGCGAGGCCTGGGGGCTGCGGTTGCTCGTGTACCCCGCTAGGTCCGCGCCGACGGCGGCCTGTCCGTCCGGGCCCGCGGGGAGCGCCACAGGCCGCTGGCTCGGGGGACGCTGGCCAGTCCGCCCCGCGCAGGCGCAGTGCGGAGGGCGGGCGTGTTCCTGCCGGCGGGGCATCTCCACCCCAGTGTATCCCACCCCCAAATCTCCGCTCTTTGGGGCTACCCCTCTTTGAGGTCGTATCCCACCTGGCAGTTACTTCTTACCTGTTAACTCCCTTACTGAGCACCTGAGCAGGTGTGTTATGGACCCTTTGCACCGATCGGGAAACTGAGGCTTGGAGAAGTGAAGGGTCCCTCCGGGGGGGGGGGGTCCCCCCATAAAATGAAGCATTGGTGGAACCCCTGTTCCTGATTCCACTTAGAGATTGGGGAGGGCCCTCGTTCGTTACATTCTTATCCTTAGCGATGATGTTCAGGTTGAAGGGGCTCTCCTGGCTTTCAGAACTCGGCCCGAAGAGCCCCCCCCCCCCCCCCCTATGCTCACTTTCCGTCTTCAAACAAAACCCCCTCGTATTGTCCTCTTATTGTCTCTGGAATTTGACTAAAATCCAAAGGAAAGTAAAAGAAAATGATTGAAAACAGTGAAAATGGATGCTTTTATGAGCAAAAATCTGTAAAATTAAGTCATCAAGGACACTCCCCGAAGGTCATTCTGCTGCCTTCCAGACCTCGCTGTGGGCAGGAATTCTGATGAAAGGTTTCTGGCTCAGTGGGAAATGGAATGAAGTTCGTGTGGGTTTGGTGGGCACTGGAGGTATTGAGGCTGGAGCGGATGATCCTCTGCAAATACAGTGTGTCTGCCACCAGCCAGACACTCTTACATGTTGGTGAGGAAGCTCCAGGCTCCCTGGCTCCTTTGCATTCTTTATCCTTCAGGCCCCTCCTTAAAAATGTCACCTCTTCAAAGGCCTTCCCTGACCACCTAGTTGAAAGGATTCTGTTCATTTTTCTTTTGCTGTATCTCAGCTAAAGCACGAAGTGGAGTGGGCCTGGTTATCCCAGTGTCCTTTCCACAGCGCTCCTTGATTACACATTTCAAACCAGACCCATTAGCAGTGTCCCTGCCAAGCTGTGCAAAGCCTGTGTTTGAACAGTTGGGTTCTGGAGCTAAAAGCCCACTTTGACATTTATCCTTCCGACATTTGCCTGGCAAATTGGACTGGTACCAGCATGGCAATGGCTTCCTAAATGCTGTGTCTCCTAGGCTTGTGAAGATGAATTGAGCAGATACAAGCAAAGGCCGTAGAAAAGCATCCAGCGCCCAACACTCATCAGGTGTTAGCCATTGTGAGCTATTCTGTGGGTCTCAGCTCTTCTCTCAGGTTTGGCTGTTAGAGTTGTCAGCCTAGCATCAGGCTCTCCTCGTGCTTCTCCTGCAGCCACAGGACTTGTAGATGCTCAATATCGCTGCTCTTGGGCCCTTTGGACATGCTGGTCCCTCTTCCTGGAATGTGATTTCCTAAGTTCTCATCTCCGATTCCTTCTCACCCTCCAGAGATGGTGAGAGGTCACCTGTTCTGAGGGACCGTCTTTTCCCATCCTGCGGAATGCAGGCCCTCGTAATTCTAGGTCAGCAGCCTGTTGGCCATTGCACTTGCTACAGTTTGTAATAAGTCTGTGATTGTGCGTTTAATTGTTTGATGCCTGTCTCTTTCTCTCGACTGTAAAATGGGTAGCCCTGGTATTCACCACTCTTCCCTACTATTGCCAATAATTTATATATAGTACTTGCTCAATAAATATTTGTTGAATGAATCACTCTAAGTCATTAATAAGAATATTGGATAAAAGTCAGGTCAGAGCCTTGGTTTCAGCTTTGATGTTGATCTGCACATCATATCCTGTTCTATACCCCGCAGTGATGGTTGGAGGTGTGGGAGGAGAACCAGGAAGAAAGGAACAGGCCTCTGAGTCTTTTGACACTTTCTCAGAAACATAATTTGAATTTTTCTTCCCACCTCCTTTCCTTTCCCATTTGACCCTTTGCCCAACATGGCACCCTCCTTAGTGAACTTTGCCCTCATTGTATAATATATGTATCCTTGACCCCCTGTTCCAGGACCCCAATGCAGACACTGAGTGGAATGACATCTTACGCAAAAAGGGCATCTTGCCCGCAAAGGAAGATTTGAATGAACTGGAAAAGGAGGCAGAAGAGGAAGAGCAGCGAGTGCTTCAGCAGTCAGTTGGTGAGCTGCTTTTATTACTTTCCGTTCTGTGTCTAAGCCTCTGACTGCTTTGGTGAAAGGATCCTGTGAGCAAGAGTTGGGAGCCAGGGATTGAGGTGCCAGAATTAATGCTGTGAATTAAGAATTAATAAATACAAGCGAGTCATAGCATGTCTCTACCTTTGTCTTCCTGGGCCGTAGAATTAGGGGACTTCAAGGCTTCCTTCATTTCCACGGTTCCTTGTGTGTGTCAGATGAGCACATGACAGTCTTAAACTTGACTTTCTCATCTGCGATTCACTTGGGATAATGTCATGGAAATCTGCTCAAAGTTTGTATAATTCTGAGCTTATACTTTATTCTCTTTGTGCCTTGATTGAAAATATTTAAATAACTTAATTTAAGGAAGCATAAGATGTTTACAATGTATAGCAGCTGAGAGAGGTATTTTCTCAAAGGTAGCTCTACTCCCAGAATTGGACTCCTTGGGGCGCTTGTAAACACTCAGTTCCTACTGAATGGGAATCTCAGGACAGGGGTGAGGCCCAAGAATGTGCATGTTAAGCCAAGTGCCTCAAAGGCTTTCTGACTCACTCTAGAGCCTGAGAACTACTGACACAGAATCCCATTTGCATATTAGAGCTAATTTAGAGAAGGTCTTACTACAAAGCATGTATTCAGCGAGTGTTTATTGAACGATTACTGTGTGACATGTGTTTTTCTGGACGGGGGCTTTCACCGTGCACAGGTCAGACAGAAATCCCTGTCCTGTGGGACTTACACTGTAGTGAGAGACAATGAACAATACATAATGAAATACAGGAAAAGGAGACAGTGAAAGGGCCTTGAAAGGGTTGAAGGAGAGGTGAGTATAATTTTAGATAGGGTCAGAGAGGACCGCACTAGGAATGACATTTGAGTAGACCTGAGGGAGGTAAACAGCTAGTTTAGTGAAAAGTATGTTGGAGAATCTACAAGGAAGCCAATATGATTAGGAGAGAGAAGTAGGGAGTTCGGAGAGGTAACGAGAGGTCAAACTTGGAACCTTGTAGCTTCTAGTAAGGATCTTGATTTTATGTAGTGAGTTGGAAGTCATTGGAGTTTTATGTTTCAGCAAAGGGGTGACATGTGTCCTCCATGTTGACAGCACCATCCTGTAGCTGCCTTCCAGAGCATGGACAGTTGGGGGAAAGGCAGGACGTATAAGACTAGTCTGTTAACTACTACAGTAATTCAGGCAAGAGGTACCATTGGCTTGGACCAGCATGGTGGTGGTGGTGGTGGTGGTGGTGGTGGTGGTGGTGGTGGTGGTGGAGGAAATCGTGAGAAGTGGTCAGGTCTGCATATATTTTGAAAGTAGGATAAACAGGATTTGCTGATGGATTGATCCTATGAGGGGTGAGAGAGAAATAAGTCTAGGATGAAATAAGGCTTTGGGTTTGAGCCACCAGAAGGATGGAGTGATCCAACTGAGAGGAGGAAAGCTTGGAGAGAGCAGGTTTGGAGATGAGATTGGGAAGTCTGTTTTGGACATAGTTACTTTGATAATTTTTATTAGACAAATAGGGATGGTAAGTGGGCTATTGGCTATGTTTTTCTCCAAATCAGAAAATATGGGCTGGAGGCATAAATTTGGGAGTTGTCAGCATACTACAAGCCATGAGATACTATTAACAAGGGAGTGGCTATAGGTAAAGAAGAAAAGGGATCCAACCAGCAGAGTCCAAAGGAGGGCAGTCTTAGGGGTGGGAGGAGAGCAGAGCGTAGGTGTCCTGGAAGCCAGCAGAGGGCAGTCTTTCACAGAGGAGACAGTGATGGGTTGAATCACATGCTGCTCAGTCAAGAAATGAAGATCATTGTTGACCTTGATAAAAGCAATTCTTTGTTGTGAATGAGTGGGTGTCAGGGACAAAAGCCCGCTTTGAAAGCAAAAAGAAAGAGTGTTTATGGCAATAAAAACAAAATACAGATGTTATAGCATTTTCTTAAAAGAAAAGATAGAGCGGCCTGGAAATACCAAGAGCCTGTGATATCCCTGTAACTGTAGGAAGGGTGTGCTCACTGTGGGAGGACACCCAGTGGTCTCCTTCCATCTCCTGGGAGACAGGAGGACTGTGATACACCACCCACTAGGGTATGGGCTTGTTCTGCCAGATGAGTTGTAACCTTGGGAAACTTCTCTTTCGTGTCCTTACTATGGTGTGTAGGAAAGAGTCAAGCCTGTAGATTCCAACACACTAGTTCTCTTTTTAAAACACCCTAACTTATTTTTACTAGTTAATACCTGAAGTACTTTGCGTCCTGGTTTTGGTGAGCTGTGAGTCTTGGGTGTTATATGTACATCTTTAGGAGAAAAGTGAAGGGGGGGGAAACAAAATGCATGTTTGTCCTTTAATTTTTTTGGTTTTGCTAACTTAATCACATTCAGTGAAAACATATGAAGATATGACTCTGGAAGAATTGGAGGATAATGAAGATGAATTTAATGAGGAAGATGAACGAGCCATTGAAATGTACAGGTTAGTGCCACCCGGAGGGACTGCTTTTTTGTGTGGCACTAAAATGTGTGTCATTTGAAAATGAATTTTTTGACTGAAATCACATTTGGAAAAGACCATAATTAAATAATAATATTTCAGATTTCAGCAAACAGGTCTTGGACTTTTGTCGTGTGTCAAAGAAACCTGGACCTTTATGAAGGTTGCTATGTGAAAGATATACTTGTGTGCACATGCGTTTGTGTGTGTGTGTAAGATAACTCACTCCTTGTTGTGCAGGCAGCAGAGACTGGCTGAATTGAAAGCAGCTCAACTGAGGAATAAATTTGGAGAAGTTTTAGAGATCTCAGGAAAGGATTATGTTCAGGAAGTTACCAAAGCCGGAGAGGGCTTGTGGGTGATCTTGCACCTTTACAAACAAGGGTGAGTGAGCTTATGCTTTGTTTTTAATGCTCATTTGAATTTATATCTTAAACATCTTGGGTTTATTCCACATTGGAGGTTGTTTTATCTTACATTTTTTTGTGGCTGATTTGCCCAAACCTTAAAACCTAATTTTTGTCTTAAGATTTTCAAATTAATATTTGTGACTAACACAAATGCCTTTGTTATGGTGTAACAATAGAGACTTTTATTGAAAATAAATTTCTAAGTTATTTATTCCTCTAGAGAAACCCTGGCTTTTTGTAATCCCATGTATGAGTTACTCTCGTAGGTGGCCAGGTGCCTTTGTAATGATTGTCCACAATGAGTGGTACAGTGGTCCTCCATGTTTCTCACCTCCAGGTCTGTCCTCAGAGCAGGAAGTACTTTCTGATGTATTTCACACATTCTGAATCTTGACTATTCTGTCATGGAGAGGGGCATAACAATTATCTTTTACATTGATGCTGTTTTTCTGACTTACATTTCGGAATATTAATTTGAACTTTGGATTTTGAGTTCTTCACTTTTCCTGAACATATTAGAAGGTTTGAGGCTCTTTTAAATATAATTTTTTATTGATTTCAGTTAGGAAGGGTGAGGGAGAGAGAAAGAGAAACATCAGTGATGAGAGAGAATCATTGATCGGCTGCCTCCTGCACGCCTCCCACTGGGAATCAAGCCCGCAACTGGGCATGCCCTCTGACTGGGAATTGAAGGTGACTTCCTCGTTCCTAGGTCAACACTCATCCACTAAGCCACAGAATTTTTTTTTTAATGTTAATTCATCTTGACTGGAGTAGCAGGTCCTCTTGTGAGTTTTTACTTAGGGCAGAAGGCTAGTTGAGCTTTGTTCTGTATAAATGCAGAATCATAACTGCTTCTATTTTTACTTTGTAGGGTTTTCCTCTCACTATTGTTTCCTCTTTCTGTTTTATAGGATTCCCCTCTGTTCCCTAATAAACCAGCACTTCAGTGGACTTGCCAGGAAGTTTCCTGACGTCAAATTTATCAAAGCCATTTCAACAACCTGCATCCCCAATTACCCTGATAGGAATCTGCCCACAATATTTGTTTACCTTGAAGGTGATATCAAGGCTCAATTTATTGGACCTCTAGTGTTTGGTGGCATGAACCTGACAATAGATGGTAAGGGTCTCTTTGAGATGGCCGGTGCATGGTAGAGATGAGAAGAGGCATATTTAATCTCTCATCTGAGACCAGTTAGTGACACAGAATAACTGGGCTCTAATGATTCTCAGTGAAAAGAGGACATGGTGGACTTTTAAAATATATGTAATACTGATGTTTTATGTCTCTATAGTTGAATGTTTTAAATTATAGCTCAAGATCATATCATTCATTTTTGTTTAATTCACATGAACGTATTAGGACATTGCATAATATGCTAAGTGTCTGACTGGTCGCAGTGAAACACACTGACCACCAGAGGCAGATGCTCAACACAGGAGCTGCCAAGCTGCAGTTTGGCAGTGGTGGTTCTCAGATGACGCACCTTGAGACCAACGTGCAGGGAACCCAATTCCTCCGTGGGGCTGCGGATTACATCTTCAGCTGTGAGTTATATTGTTGCTGGGGCACTGTCGGCCCCAAATCTGGTTTACTGCACACTTGAGTTTGCATTCCACACTCTGTACTTTGCAGAGTGCCCTCTCACACTTTGAGACTCCTCCGGGGATGTTGAAGAGCCAGTTTTGGCCTAATCCCTGCAGGCCAGGCTGAGGGACCCCACCTACTGGGGGCACCCCACTCATTCCACAGATGCCCTTCGAGCCATGACGCTACCCAGGTGTGGCTGGCAGGGGAGGAACCAATAGGTGTAGAGACCATGAAAGGTTGACTACAGAGCATGTCTGGCCTGTCAAGCCCAGTCCCACCGATACCTTCTAATTAATTTCCTTTCAATGTACAAGAATCCATGTACCATGTCACTATGTATGTGTCATTAATATTTGAGTTATCTCCATAGAAATATTTTCTCAATTGAATGTCTTAGTAACTTTTAAATTAAATCAAGTCCATTTAATTCTTCCTTTTAACTTGTAACCAATGTCTTTTTATTCCTTTCTGCCTGTTAAGCATGAGGTGTCAAATCTTATATAATAAAAGTGTAATGTGCAAATCGACTGAACAGCAGAAGGACTGTTCACTATGACATGCACTGACCACCAGGGGGGCAGACACTCAACACAGGAACAGCCCACTGGTGGTCAGTGTGCTCCCACAGGGGGAACGCAGCTCAGCCAGAAGCTGGGCTGACAGTGGTGGGAGCCTCTCCCATCTCCGCGGTATTGCTAAGGCTGTCTGCAGGGAGTGGGCCTAAGCTGTCAGTCAGATACCCCTCGAGGCCTCCCAAACTGCGAAAGGGCCCAGGCTGGGCTGAGTACACACAAACACACACACACACGCACACACACACACACAATGTGAAAGAGAGACCGAGGCCTGAGGGATTCCTGCTAGGTCAAAATCTCTTTATTGAAATATTCTGTCTAACTATGCTTTAGTAGTGTTTAAAAAACATGTTTAAATATGATTACATACTACTTTATATAACTCTATATGATAGTCAAATGGGAAAAATACAAACATACACATCAGTATGTTGCATTAGTTATTCCAGTGAGTAAAGGCAAATAGCATGCATATATGTATGAATGTGCAGATTTACTGTATTTTTTAGTCAAGAATCAGAAATCTTAAGCTTGGGTTTTGTGTGTTTTTGTGTGTGCTTTTTTAAGAAATTGGTTGGATTTTTATAACATTTAACTGAGAAAACTGAAAATACTGGTGTTATTCATCTCCATGAGCACTTTACAGTACAATGACTTCAGTAAAATTGGTTGTCTGACTTTAATGGCAGGACCTAATTAGCAGAGCATTGCTTTAAACCAGGCTGTTGTGGACTTTCTCCTCCAGTCCCTTAATTCTGCCTGGACCCTCCACTGAATTTGCTTCATAAGGGCTCACTGATTATCAGAGAGTGAAATACAGTAACTGAGGCATTAGTCATTCATTTTGTGGCATTTTTTTTTAATTAGTTGAAACAAATGGTCAGTTTAAAATGTCATCACCTATTTAGCCTTTGACTCTAATAGATGGGAGATATTGGACATGAAGCTGAAGAATTTCCATTTGTTAACTAAAATAGGACTTGATCATATAGCCAGCGGGACTGTGAAAAGAATTGCCTTTAAATGCTTCATGCCGATTCTTTCCTGGGAAATTGTGGAGTCTGAAAAACTGAAGTCATTAGGAGACTTAGGGGTAGTCTCTTCTTTTAATTCTAGGTTCCTTGTAATTATGGCACTAAAATCAAATTGTCATCAAATGTTGGTTGTAGTTTCTGCAGAAAAAACATCTGACTTGGTGAGATGCAGTCTGGCTTAGGTGATTTGCTTTTTCTTTATTGCTTAGAGTTGGAGTGGAAATTGTCTGAGTCTGGAGCAATCAAGACAGACCTGGAGGAAAACCCTAAGAAGCCAATTGAAGACGTTTTGCTGTCCTCGGTGCGCAGCTCCATCCCCGTGAGCAGAGACAGCGATTCTGATGATGACTGAGCTGTGCCGCGGAACTGTCCTGTCCTCCCTGCCCGGTGACCTCGTGGTTCCTGGGTTGATGCTCAACCACTGAGCCACTCCAGCCGGGCCTGAGCTCTCTTAATGGGACAGATGATCCGGATTTTTTTTTTTTTAAAGGAAAAAGTAGGATGAATCCTTTGTTTTTTAGTCTTTTATAATTATGTTTCAAATATCGTAGTTCTCAGGAATAATCATTGCTGGGAATCCAATTGGATTTCTTAGAATTTTTTTTTAATTAATAACATTTAAATTAATAACCAGCTGTTGGTATGGCAGATGTCTTTGTTTTCCTCACTTGTGGCTTAAGAAAGCTGTAAAACTATTCACTATTTATTCACATATCATTACATAAAAAGGAATGTGGAGTTTTTTTTAATGTGAATAATATATACAGAGAGAGATAGAAATATTAGTGATGACAGAGAATCATTGATCGGCTGCCTCCTGCACCCAAAAAACTGCAAACTAAGCTTTACATTTACATTAATGTTTATATTTATTCTTTTATAAAGGTAGCAAAGGGAGTAATAGCACAAAGGAATGATTGATAGGAAAAACATTTTAGTGTTCTATTTGGGAGAATATGCAATGATTTTTATAAAAACAAACTGTATTCTTAAAGCAGTAACTGAAAGATCTCAATTTACTGCCACTTGGGTTAAATACTTTTTCCAGTTAAAATAATTTTTTTGTCTCAAACTGTTGAGATGTCAGCTAATTTCAATTACTGCAAAAGGCTGCCTTATTTTTTTTTTAAATAAACATATAAGCATGCACATAGATAAACAAAAACTCAGTCAATTAATAAAAAATACACCAAGCTGAAACCAGTTTGGCTCAGTGGATAGAGCGTTGGCCTGTGGACTGAAAGGTCCCAGGTTCTATTCCGGTCAAGGGCATGTATCTTGGTTGCAGGCATACCCCCAGTAGGGGGTGTGCAGGAGGCAACCGATGGATGTTTCTAACTCTCTATCCCTCTCCCTTTCTCTCTGTAAGAAATCGATAAAATATATTTTTTTAAAAAGAAAAACACATCAAGATATTTTTCTGCCTAGAATCCTTGTAGAATTTACCACTTCTTAACAAATCAACATTAATAGGATAATTAGGGGAAATATTGTTCCCTAATATTTGTGTTGAATAATGTAGCATTTAATGCTGGTTTGAATCTTAAAAATATGAATCAGAGAGGGCAGAGTTCCTTCCGATGATACTGTAAAATTTATTTCTGCTGTAATTCAACAAATGACAAGTAGCTTTGATTCATCCATCAGAATTGTCTGTGTTAGTAATTATTGGTTTTTCTACACACATGAGAGCCAGCGCTCTGTCACGTTTTACCTTGAAGGATCTTTTCTGAAATTTTCATTGATACAAGCTTGGCAGGTCTGTCACTTGAAGGAGAGCTGCTTTTTTGGGTTTTCTGTTGTTAGCAGACAGTGAAATGAAGTGTGTGGGAGGAACACAGGTGAAGGCTTGAGCACTGCATCTCCTAAGGGCTGCAGTTCGCGCAGCTCCCAGGAGAAGAGAGAACTCTACCTGAACATTGGCAGGCAGGTGAGCATTGTCCACAGTGGTGGCGCCTATACCAGATGGAATTCTAAATGTTTGCTGTACCACTTGGAGCAATGTGAGTGTGTGAACTGCCTCATAATCTTGCTTCCAAGCCAGACTAAGACACTTAGTTTGTGGTCAATTAAAGCTCAGTTGCCTGTGGATTTGGCTCATGAGCCCCATCTGGCCTCAGGGCCCTAGGCCCCAGGTGCTGTTTAGTCATGCTGACCAAACTTGATACAAAAAGATAGAAAGACCGTCTATGGCCACACCACTGAATGCTCCCAATCTCATCCACAAAGAGAGAGAGAGGCATCTCTATCCTAAAATTAGTATTGGGATTTAGAACCTGACCTGCAGATTGCTACAGGTTAATAATTATGGGAGACTTTTCTATAATATTCACCATTAACTTACTTCTGTTTCATTTGGAGCATTTGTGATGTGACAGAAATGATACAACTTGGCTCTTGAGCATTGAGTTAATCTATTCCACAGCAGAAACATGACCAGGGAAAACATAAGAATGGGACCCAGAGCCTGTCTTTGAGGAAAACTGAAACACACTAAGACTATGGTCAAATACAGCGGGTTTTTTCTGACTTTCCTTATTTGTGGAAGAGAAAAAGGATATTAGTAGATGGAGTACACCTTCTTCATTGCAAATCTAAGTTTTCATTCTTACTCGTCAAGGGTACAGACAGCTGTTTCAGCAGAGGCCCCTCTCACAGTGGTTTCTGGAGTGTCAGGAGCACTTCAGAAAAGTTGTACTGGCTGGAAAGGTACCTCCTGAGAAATGTGAAAGGGCTGTGAAGAAGAGCGGTCACCAGCCTTTTGGACCTCATGGACCACCAGTGACCCATGGACCACCCATTGGCAACCGCTGGTTTAGAAGGGTGTCCCTGTCACCAGTGCCTGAATTTGTTGTCATCTGTTACCTTCAGCTTTCAATCCAGTTTTCTTATATAATAAGCACAAATTTTGACAAAGTGCTTTTCAAATGTAATAGGCTAAAATGTTGTGATTGTGTTTCCTACTTTAGAAGCATGTCCTGATGAAACCAGTTGTTACTTATAAATACAGCCTTCTAACAAGTGGCTTTCAACACATATTCTTGATACTGTTCACATTTACACAACAGATGGTGCAGGCCCTCTACCCTCTGCACACTGCCCCCCACTCAGCAACTCCACTGGAGACCTTGTCACTTGTGTGCTACGAGGACTTTCCTTGGCTCTTGGTCTCACCAACCCATGCCCATCCTTGTCTTTCTGTTTGACCCTCTTCTCTCCTATATTCTTTAGGACTTTGTTCCAATAAATCATCTTGATTTCATTCTCTCCCTAGATGCACAGTGTTAGGCGTAAGAGTGTTTGAGACCTGTGGCAGAGACTGCTACTTGCTTACCAAGTATCCAGAATTATCTGGTTCCACTCAAGCAGCAACAGGACCAGCTAAAGGATCAGACTCCCAGCCTCCTTTGGAGCTGCAGATTGCCAGAAGGAGATGGGCACAAGTTTCATAAGAGAAACACACTGGCATGTGCCCCTTTTGGGCTTAATCCCCTTCTACTTTCTGACTAAAGCATCCCCATGTGATTGCAGCCGACGTAGCATAACATTCCTGATGACATTGTGGGGCCACTACAACCAGCTCCTGACTGTCCTTTTACACTTCTGTTAGTGCAAAAGAAGTAACTTCCATCCTGGTTTCTCTTAGTAGCAGCTGCATTTCCCAATAAAGCCAGCAGGCCATCACAAAAACAAAAACACACAGTCACCCTAGCTTTCTACTCCCCACTTTTCAAATTGCTTGATCAACAGAAGAGCATCTGTATTCCTGCTTCTACTTCGTCATTACTTTCCAGTAACTTCATGGGTCAGAATTTAGGACTTCCATTTCCAGTGTGTGAAGAACTGGGTACTTGGAGGGGATATGGATACAAAAGGGGCCATACTAAACCGGTAAGCACAGGGGAGGCCTGCATGGCTGGTCTTACAAACTCAGAGGCTGAAAGAAACCACAAAAGATTATCTGAAATGAAAACTTCCTAACTAAACAAGTCATGGTGAGTAGTCATGCCCTAAGCATGTATCTTCTTTTGCAAAGATCAGTCTTTACCTTAACAGCCTGTCTAATCTTTTTGTATCTATGAACTAACATACTTTGGGAATGTCAGTTTAACTTCCCTTTTTCAGAACCCCTTACACCAGAGCAGAGATCATAAAACTGATCATTGCTATTGTGTTGTTAATTATCCTATACCCTCCAAAGTAAAAAATGTGTCTTGTTTTTTATGCAGTCCCGGAGATTTCCCCACTTTGCTTTATCCCACCTCCCTAATCTATCACCAGTGGGTTTCATGTAACCCTCCTTATGCCTTATCCTTTGATTGTAATGTATAAAATGAGGTGCAAAACTGCCATTCTCTGGAGCATTTTCTCAGTCTGTTGAGATTTTGCTCCCTGGCAATTGTCATCAGTTTGACTCAAATAAGCTCATAAAAAAATCATACAGGTTTGGATTTTTCTTATGTCGACATTTACTTGGTGTAGTGTGACAGGATTCCATAGAAGCGCACCCAAGACCACCTTGCAGACCCGGACCCATTCTAGGTACCAGCAGGGGCCCGAGGACTCCTCATTTTGTATCGGGTGAACTTGGGCGAGTTTCCGTTGGAATTTCAGACCTCCCTGTTTTAAGGTAAAAGGTGATGACTTTATTTTAGCTCTTTTTTTTTTTTTTAAATCCTTGAGGTGGAGCTAAATGTAAATGGTTGAGAGAACCCAGGCTAAAGATAAGAGTGGATATAACTAAGAACAGGAGGAAAAAAATTAGTTTGGCTTTTCATTTGGAATTGCATTCTGAGAATCTGAGCAAAACACTTTACCTCATAAATGAGAGCCTGAACTCATTCAACTCTGAAGATGAGGGGCACTTCCTCCAGCCCAAATCTCCGGTATTCCTAGGTGACTAACAAGCTTTGTGGAGGTGTCAGAGGATATCCCTAACTAATGTGCAAGAGCCACCAACTGTAATGAAATACCTGACTCTTCTGGGGCCATGCACATATAGGTTGGTTACCCAGCATTTGAGCCCTCGTAGCTGTATTAGACTGTCAGGGAAAGAAACCAAGAAATGAAGAGGATTGAATGAGACTCAGGAGGTGACAGCTCCTTGGAGCTCAACCCATAAGCTGCCTCTTAACCAGATGAAGATAATGATTTCCTTTCTATACAGTATCCCTAGAAATTTGTTCAGACTCCAAAGATTTCAAAATAAAACATATTAACATGGGAAATCATGCCTCCAAGGCCAGAAACTCCCAACCTCAGCCCCCATTAATATTCCTGCAGGTATCTATATATATATGAAAGCCTAAGTGACCTGGCCTACTGGATGGTAGCTCTAACATGCACTGACCA